AAAAAAAAAAAAAGAATACGTTTGTGTGTTTTGTTGATTGTTTCGGGTCAGTATTCGTACGATATAGTGTATTCTTTCAATAAGCTGCTTCAATTTTTTTTTTTTTTTTTTTCTTTTTGGACCAGTAAGGGGATCACAACCCCTGGCAAGGTGTTGTCTGCACCACGCTCAGCCAGTGAGCGCACCAGCCATCCCTATATAGGATCCGAACCTGCGGCTTTGGCACTACCAGCGCTGCACTCTCCCGAGTGAGCCATGGGGCCGGCCCAGCTTCAATTTTTTTTTTATTGCAGGAAGGTAATTTGGAATTATAGCTCTTAATATGAGGGTACTTCAAAAGTTCAGAGAAAGATTCGTATTATTTTTTAATTCTTTATTTTTTATTTATTTATTTATTTAAAGATGACCGGTAAGGGGATCTTAACCCTTGACTTGGTGTTGTCAGCACCATGCTCACCCAGTGAGCTAAACAGGCCATCCGTATATGGGATCCAAACCCGTGGCCTTGGTGTTATCAGCACCACGCTCTCCTGAGTGAGCCATGGGCCAGCCCCATTTTTTAATTCTTTATTTCCACAAACTTTTTGAAGTACCCTCGAATTTGTTTTGTTCCTTTGCTTTGGTTTTCTTCATGGACTGCTATTACTTGTATCATGGATTTTTATGTATTTTCAATATTTGTTGCTATCTCAAAGCCTTTTAATCTCTCTGGAGGAAGTCTGGGCAGAGTCATGCATTAAGCACACTGCAGATAGACTGAGTAAAAAAATCAGAACAGATTTCCAATGTGCTATGCTGGATAGTATACACAGAATGCAATTTCAAATCTGTTTTTAGGGCTGGCCAGTTAGCTCAGCTGGTTACAGCATGGTGCTGATAACACCAAAGGTCCAGAGTTTGATCTCTGTACTGGCTAGCCTCCAAACAAACAAACAAACAAAAAAACACAAAATCATTTTTAACATTTCAATGTCAGGTGCAATCATTGTGACAGTTTGTAAAATTGGGTTATATCTCAAAGCAGAGGCAACAAAACCAAAAACAGACAAATGGTATCACATCAAACTAAAAAGCTTCTGTACAGCAAAGGAAGAGACAAACTACAGAGAGGGAGAAAATATTTGCAAACCCCATACATCTCATAAGAGGTTAATATACAAAATATGTAAAGAACTCAAACAACTCAATAGAAAGAAAACAAATAACTCAATTAAATAAATGGGCAATGGACCTGAATAGACATTACTCAAAAGGAACATACAAATGACTGGCAGGTATATGAAAAAGAAGGAAATCCTGTTATTGTGACAACATGGAGGACATTATGTTAAGTGAAATAAGCCAGGCACAGAAAGATAAATACTGAATGATTTCACGTATATGTGGAATTTTAAAAAGTCAAACCCATGTAGAGCGTAGAATGGTGGTTACCAGGGACTGGGCAGTGGCTGGGGGAGGGGGTTGGTATTGAGGAGAGAGATGTTGGTCAAAGGAAGCAAACTTTCAGTTATACAGGAGGAGGAAGTTCTAGAGATCTATTTACAACAATGGTGACTATAGTTAATAACAATGTGTTGCATATTGAAAATTGCTGAGAGTAGATTTTGTGTTTTCAACACACACACAAAAAGAATGTGAGGTAATGCATGTGTTAATTAGCTTGATTTAGCTAGTCCACAATTTATACATATTTCAAAACATCATGTTATACACCATAAATATATACAATTTTTATCTGTCAATTAAAAAAGTAATAAAAACCTTTTTCATCTTTCATCTTCTTAGACTTTAACATCAACTAAAAAGTTCTTCCTGAAAGCTTATGGGAAATACACTGAATAGTGGATCCCCTAGTTCCTAAATTCAGCTGTAATTGTTTCTTTTAAAGAGCCCTATATGTCCTATAACAAAAATTGAAAATGACTTAAAAAAGAAAATTACCTTTCAACAATATTGAGACAAGACACACCATCCTGGCCACCAACAGCATAGAGAAAGCCTCCAAGTACTGCCACACCCACACTTGTCCTGCAGGTGCTTGTAGGGGCCACATCGCTGCTCCACTGATTTGTTTTGGGGTCATACCTGCAACGACCACATCAAGAGCAGGGTTTGTATTATACAATAAATGCTTGGCTATGTTTACATATTCCAAATCAAACGATTTATATGAGTACAGTATATTCTTTCCCCTAAATATGGGCTGATTAATAAATAACTAAAGCATATGAAAATCTAATTTATGGGCCGGCCCGTGGCTCACTCGGTAGAGTGCGGTGCTAATAACACCAAGGCCCCGGGTTCGGATCCCACATAGGGATGGCCGGTTTGCTCGCTGGCTGAGCGTGGTGCTGACAACACCAAGTCAAGGGTTAAGATCCCCTTACCGGTAATCTTTTAAAAAAAAAAAAAAGAAAATCTAATTTATGTTTTTATTTTTTGAAATTCATTTTTATCTGAATAAGTTATACATAAATATATTTTCTTTTAAAAAATATTAGAATGTTATTGATAAAGCTAAAGTCCTCTTTGAGTTCAACCTAAATTCTCGTCTCTTCTCATTTTGATTTGGTATATATCCTTCCAGACTATCCAGTAAAATACTCTTAAATAGGTTCATATACACATATATATATTTCTTTATATGCAAGTATGTTTTCTTTACATAAATAATAGCACACAGTTGGCATTTTTTCACTTAATGTATTTTTGAGATCTATTTATGCTAATATAGCTCTAGATTCTTCCTTTGAACTATTTTAGTATATTGTATGTGCCTTACATTATTTAATCATATTCCTATAGATGTATCCTTAGGCTGTTTCTATCATTTTGCTATTAAAGACAGTGATCACCCTTGCATATTTTTCCTTGTGCAAATAGATGATAAGTAGAATCACTGTGGCAAAGAGTATGTTCATTTTTAATTTAAAAATTACTATCAAAATGTTATCAAATTGTTTTTTTGTTTTTTAAAAATGATGACTGGTAAGGGGATCTTTACCCTTGACTTGGTGTTGTCAGCACCACGCTCACCCAGTGAGCTGACCGGCCATCCCTATATGGGATCTGAACCTGGGGCCTTGGTGTTATCAGCATCGCACTCTCCTGAGTGAGCCACGGGCCGGCCCAAATTGTTCTTTTTGTAGCTATATCAATTTTTATTTTTAAAAAATTTCAGTAATCTTTTCATTGATTTTTTTTTTTTTTTTTGTCTTTTGTCTTTTTTCCGTGTCCGGCAACGGATCGCAACCCTCAGTGTTGCCCCCGTACCGGACCGGGGACCGGCAACGGGATCGCAAGCCTCGGTGTTGCTCCCGCGCCTCGCTCAGCCAGTGAGCGGGAACCGGTCTGTATATGGGATCCGAACCCTCGGACGGGAGCGCCGCCGCGCTTCCCAAGCGGCGCACTATCCAGTGCGCCACCGGGCCGGCCCTTCATTGATTTTTTTTTGTTGAGTTTTGTTGCTCTTTTTATAACTGCTCGATTTAAAAGCATGATTCACTTATTTTCTTTCTTATTTTCAAATGCATATAAGTTATATGAATGCATATAAGTTAAAATTCATATAAAATTTGCTTCTGAGTACCACCTTAGTTGCATTCTATATATTTTGATATATATACAGGCTTAACTGTTATTAAACTATAAATATATAGTCATTTCTACTCTTATTTCTTTAACCCATCAATTTATTTTTAAGTGTGCTTTTTTTGTTTTCCATTTCTTTTTTTTTTGGTGGCTGATCAGTATGGAGATCTGAATCCTCGACCTTGGCGTTACAAGGCTACATCCTAACCAACTGAACTAACTGGCCAGCCCATTTTTTACCTCTATGGAACCAATCTCTCTGTTTTTTTTTTTTTTCCACTATACAATCTATACCTTTAGAACCTTATATGCTGTGGGGTTTCATAGATGTGTTATGGAAATACTAAGAATCACTGTAAAGCAACACGGCTGGATGAAAAAGGTTGTATGAGAGCAAGAAGCTATTAAAACATCAGTTACTGTAGGTTTCCAATGTGCCAGACACCGTGAAAAGACATTTCAACAATCAATCATAGCACCATGTGATATGTACAAGCATGTTCAAAATATTTATGAAAGAGAGAGGAATGAGTAACTAACTGATCTGTATGGTATCAGAGAAGGTTTTTTTTTTTTTTCCTTTTTGTCTTTTTTCGTGACCGGCAACGGATCGCAACCCTCAGTGTCGCGCCCATACCGGACCGGGACCGGCAACGGGATCACAACCCTCGGTGTTGCGCCCGCACCTCGCTCAGCCAGTGAGCGGCAGGTCTGTATGTGGGATCCGAACCCTCGGCGGGAGCGTCGCCGCGCTCCCAAGCGGCGCACTGTAGCAGTGCGCCACCGGGCCGGCCCAGAGAAGGTTTTTTGTAAGAAGTAACATTTGAGTCTTGAAGGATAAGTATTAAAGGGCAGAGATATTTTAGGAAAGAAAAAACAGCATGTACACATTGTAGGAAAGAGGTATGAAAGATTACAGCATTTCCAAGGAACTGCAAGCAATTTGATGAATCTGCAGTAGCATGTTTAGGGAATGGTAGTGTGCCATGGGAGGCAGACTGGAAAAATAGGTAGAGATCATAAAAAACTTGTATGTCATGCTAAATAAGTTGTTGAGGCTGCCAACTAGAGCCACAGATGTAATACTGAAGCAGGAAGAGTCACATCTGTTTCCTAATTAACATCTCAAATGAAACTATATGAATAATAGGGAAAAAATTTCAAATTGACCTTACTTACCTTTCAACACTATTAAGATAAGAGGATCCATCATGGCCTCCCACTGCATATAACAGGTCGTCTAGAACACTGACCCCAACTCCACATCGCCTTTTGCTCATTGAAGCTACCATTCGCCATTCATTGGTCTGTGGATCATATCTTTCAACACTGGAAATGGCATCTCCACTGCACCAGCCACCAACTGGGAAAGTAACAGAAATGATCAAGATAATACCTGTCCTAAAGCACAGAATATATTACTCACTGCTAACCTCACCGTGACCTAATGCTTGGACTAACCAAATGTCTCTAGAAGCAGGTCAAAATATAAGTTATGACTTTAACTTACTGCACTGGGATTGCTATAAACATTAATTAATTTTCTAAAGAAGTTGGCATTATGTCCATTTTACAAAGGATGGCAATAACACTGATTCAAATAAAATTGTGAGGTAATTTGGCATATAAAGGATACAACACTAAATTTAGTTAGAAAACTGGGGCTTGACTGTTGCCTCTAGCAGCTATGTGATCTTGAAGAAATTCTGTAAACTCCCTGAACCATAGTTTCCTTGTTTGTAAAATAATAAATCAAAATTAAAAAGTGAAATATCAACAATGTATAAAAAGAATTATACACCACAACCAAGTAGGATATATCTCAGGTATGCGAGGCTGGTTCAACATCTGAAAATTAATTAATGTAATCAATTACATCATTGGGCTAAAAAAGGAAAATCACATGATCATATCAATAAGTGCAGAAAGAGCATTTGACAAAATCCAACACCCATTCCTGATGAAAACTCTCAGTAAACTAGGAACATAGAGAAATTTCTTTGACTTGATAAATATCTATAAAAACCCTACAGCTAATGTCATACTTTAATGGTAAGAAACTCAAAGCTTTCTTACTAAGATCAGGAAGAATGCAAAGATGTCACCTTTCACCACTGCTTTTTAACATCATACTGGAAGTCCTAGCTAATGCAGTAAAAAAAGGAAAGGAATAAAAGGTATACAGTTTGGGAAGGAAGAAAAAAAACTGTCCTTCTATGCAGATGTCATAATTATCTATATAGAAAATCTAAAAGAATCAACAAATAAATCCTCCTGGAATTAATAAGTGATTATAGGGCCGGCCCGGTGGCGCACTGGATAGTGCGCCGCTTGGGAAGCGCGGCGGCGCTCCCGTCCGAGGGTTCGGATCCCACATACAGACCGGTTCCCGCTCACTGGCTGAGCGAGGCGCGGGAGCAACGCCGAGGGTTGCAGTCCCGTTGCCGGTCCCGGGTCCGGTGCGGGGGCAACACTGAGGGTTGCGATCCGTTGCCAGACATGGAAAAGACAAAAAAAAAAAAAAAAAAAAAAAAAAAAAAGTGATATAGCAAGGCTGAAGGATGCAAAATTAATATTTAAAAGTCAGTCATGTTCCTATATACTAGCAATGAGCCAGTGGAATTTGAAATTAAAAACACAATACCACTTACATTAGCACTTCCCCCAAATAAAATACTTAGATTCAAATCTATCAAAACATGTGTAAGATCTCTGCAAGGAAAATGCTGATGAAAGAAACCAAAGAATGAAATAAATGAAAAGATATTCCATGTTTATGAATAGGAAGATATAATATTATTAAGATGTCTGTTCTTCTCAACCTGATCTATAGACTCAATGCAATCTCAATCAAAATCCCAGCAAGTTACTTTGTGGATATCAAGAAATCAATTCTAGGGCCGAGCCCGTGGCGCGCTCAGGAGAGTGAGGCGCTGGGAGCGCAGCAGCGCTCCCGCCGCGGGTTTGGATGCTATATAGGGATGACCGATGACCGGTGCGCTCACAGGCTGAGCGCGGTGCGGCCAGTCTCAAAAAGGACAAAAAAAAAAAAAAAAAAAAAAAAAAAAAAAAAAAAAATAATTCTAAAGTTTTTATGGAGAAACAAAAAACCCAAAAAAACAAACACAAAATTGAAG